CAAAAGAGAAGATATGAAGAACAAGATGGTGTGGCTTCTGGTATGGTGGCAGTTTCCTTTCTTTCGATTTATAGACTTGGGTCGAACTTGTTCTCGCAACTTGGTCTTGATGTCAAGACGCACCTACTCGTAATTATGACAACTACTATTGCAGATGAATTTGGATTTGGTGCGTTCTACTAAGTCGCCTTGACAACTAGAATAAGTTGCAACATCGAGGTCAACCCATTTCCATAACAAAAGGTACTTTTTCTCGATAGGAAGACCAACGTAATGCTGCTCCCTTTTCCTTATAGCATTTGTTGGCTCGAGTTGTCATGACTATTTCCAGCCTCCAAGCCCTGAGTTGGTATCTTCTTCGACATTTCACCTGCATCATCATTTGACCTTGTCATTTATTGCTCAAAATGAGACATCTCTCCGACGCATGCAAGGCAATACTGAAATAGAATAGCACCAATTCTGGCGAAACGTCTTAAAATGTACCGGATCAACTGACCTATGCTTGAAAGAAGCAGAAGACGCAGGATGGGTACATTCGCAAAGGTTGCCCCCTGTCGCCGCGGTCAAGTTACAGGAAATAGTTCGAAACGACACTACAAAGAACTTTTTTCTCAAGCAAAAAGTAGCCATCCGTCTGAACCTTGACTTGGATTGTTTGGCTTTTGTTTGTCATCTTGTGACATCCGGCTTTTGCGAGGTGATGCCTGAAAGCATATCTCCAACAAATTGCCCGAAAACCGGTTTGCGAAGCTTGAAGTATGGAGGCAAATCCTCAAAACTTCTCGGGAGGCCACGGACACAGATCTTAGAAACAGCCCATACAGTCCTGTCGAATTTTTTGGGGGGAGGGCGTAATGAATAAAGCATAAATTTAGCTCACAAACGGACACAAAATCAGAGTTTTTGCCAGTTCTGCATGCAAAGCTGACTTTCGAGGAATCGTTTAGCTTGCAATTGTTGAAGCCAATTCCATCTTGACTGTGTCTTAAAGTGGTGCATAGTTTCAAGGTTGGATTGTACCAAAAGACGACGACTCATTCCATTCGATCAGCTGTTGTTGCCGTGGTAAACCTTTTCACAAATAGCTGTATTAGCAATATTTCCTCTAAGGTGTAATTGAAAGCCTAATTGTTAGCAAAAACCATGAGACAAAATAAAACAGATCAGCTCATCATTCCCGCAACCAAATTATAGTTATTCACCAAGTGTGGATTCATCACAGATAGAATGATCAAGATCAAGTGGCCACACTGGGTTCTTCTTCTTTTCGCAACTTGGTCGTATTGCCATGGCAACCGCAATGAACGCATCTTGTCCGAAATCCCCGTTCGTCACGGTCATGACACTTCCCAGCGTCAGGCCATCAACTTTGTACATGACAGACATTTTCATAGCTTTCATGTCAGAGGAGCCACTCGGATTTTCCCAAATGTCATATGATAAAAGACTCTCGTGGAAAAATGTAAAAATCATACCTGAGATAGGAATAAGTCTGAATTTGGCATACTCACCCTATTTCTTGTAAGGCTCTGAACGACAAATATATAAACAGGGCTCATGTGTCCATTTCATTTCACATCAAAACGTGTTCTCATCCTGACTAGGCTGGGACTATGAGGCCCAATCACATGATTCAGCTACTAGTCCTTGATGGAGGTAAACGAAATAAAGCGAATACAGCTTACTGGTAGTCTCGACAACTTAATTATGATATGAAAATCTCAATTTTTTCATTTGATGCTTGTTTACAAAAACTAATTTTATTTTTATAAATCGGACTTTGTCTAAATTCATTCAGTTTATTTAAGAATTTCAAAAGGCTTTGCTTTCATTTGAGATGTATGCACCCGGTTTCATTGAAGTTCGTTGAAGTTTCCCACAACCATCAGTCCTGCCTGAGGGTGAGTCTCGAAAACCAACTTAAAAAACGAAAAGTGTAGCTACATTTTGTTGCTCACTGGCATTGTGTTATCATATTACAGTTCTTATTCGGTGGCATTTGCTAGATTTGTGGTCATTTGAGTGTTACTGCCGGTTGGGGAGGCTTTCTTGGAGAAACGCGAGTGAAACATGATTTTGGAAACATTCAACTACCAGTGTCAGATCTTCCGTCAGTCTGGAAGGTCGACTCACAAGCGAAAATAGATCACGGTCTTGCGTTGTCACACGATGTGAGTCTACCAAAACCAGAGTCAGGCTGGTAATCAGGCTCGAATCACGTCTGGTGATTGCAGCAAAAGCGCCGACTATTGCCGACTTTCGGCTTGTTCGTGAGTTGGAACCGGTAATTAAAGTCAACCAGAAGAAGTTGTCAGCCGGAGCCATCTGCCAAAAGGGGCCTTATCTGACTTGGGGGTCGAGCAGATGCGATTGACTCGCGCTGTCCTCAACCCCCGGGCCAGTTCAGGCGTGACCATGCCTCTTATCAGCCCACATGCGGCCAATAAGCCGTTTCCGAGGCCCCGAGTTACCGGCACCATTTACGCCCTAGTGACCGACGGCCACGCGATCAGACCGGCACAGGTTGCTATCATGCACCGACAAACCGCGTTGTGTTGACAACGGGTGATATATCTTCATATCTGGCCGTCTCGCCTCGGTCAAGAGGAGTGTACCATTTTGGCCAGACTCGGGGCCGCTAATCAAGTGGCATACTTTGTCTTTTTTTCTACTCTTCATCATACCCCATCATCGCGGCTCTCGAACACTTGTTCGCCATGTCAACTGACGAAGCGAAATGGGGCCGTTTTAGAGGCCGCCTCTGCAACTTTGGAATGGGCAGGAGGAGAGGCAGGGGACAAACTTGGGTCAACATTAACGCTGATTGGTCGCGTCTGCCGCCCCAGAGACGGACAACATGTGGATATCAAAGGTCAGAGCGACTGTAGTCCATGCGGCCGGACCGTCAAGTTGACTTGGCCGATAGTCATCCGATCCCATTCGACACACACACACACACACACGAGTTGTGGGCTTTGGTGGCGTTGGGAGTGCTCGAAATGATCCGCAGAGGCGGATGAAACGGACAATCCCAAGTCCGGCTTGAAGGAGGGCTCTATGACGAGGGGTGGATTTTGGTGGTGTAACCCTTTTTTCCATGACTAGATGCCAACCTGGACATTTTGTCGGTGGCTTTAGCACCAAGTCCAACGAAAAGATTACCCAGAACAATGAGGCTACTGAGTGATGGGAAACAGAACTTAACGCTTGGTTTTGTAAAAATGTCTCCTGCTGCCAGGAGAGCCCACCTTGTCTGTGTGCTTACGTCGGTGTTCGTGTGCATTCATAAAAATGTAGGCATAGACGTTTATAATTGCTGCCTCGTGAGTTAAATTCAATTCTGGCAACCCATTCTGATGGCATAACAGACGAACGTCGATGGAACAAGGAAGGACCTTTCAGGTGGGTCGCGATGGCGACACGAAAAAGTGGATAAAACGAAGTCAAACAACCATTTCGACGAGTTGTAACTTGACGATGAGGCGACGGGGAAACAAGGTCTGCAGAGGCTACCAAAAATATGAAGCCTAAGCATAATCACATAATCCTTTCGCAACACAGACTTGGTTTTACATTCTAGTTCCACTTTGGCTGTGTTGTCAGAGCGACTGGGATGAATGCATCTGGTCAGAATCCCTCTTCCCAGGTATGCATGTGTATGCATGCTAAATGTAAAATGGTACCCAGTTCTGATGTTGTCTGTCAGGTTGTATAGCAAACAAATGATGAGTAGACCATCACTTCTACTCCGTGACATCCGTACGCTGCATTGCAACAAACTGGGTTCGAGTTCCGCCGGGCGAGGTCGAAACTGCAGTCCAGTCCAATCGGAAATAAGGCTCTTTGAAGTCAAAGGAGTTTGTCTCGAGGACAAAGAAGGTGAATATT